CAACACACGCCCCGCACAAGCAAGCAGACAAGCAAGAGGAGATGGCCACGCAGGAATCGCTCACCAAGGATGACCTCACCCACATGCACCAGGGCTCCGGTCAGTCCATCGGCGCCACCAAGATGATGCAGGGCGAGGGCGAGCGTACGCCCCCCCAATCCCCTATAAAAACATCGCGACAGTTCTTTTCATACTTACATGAAGGGGGGGGCTCTACAGAGGAGCCGCACAAGCACGCCAAGCAAGGACGCAACAGGGAGCTCGGTCAGGACAAGGAGCAGTCCATGGCCAAGGGCAAGCACCCGGGCATGGGCGACCGGCCCGACATCCACGGCGACACCGGCGAGGGCATCGCCGCGTACGCCCCCCCCCCCCAAAGAGTCTTTTCGGTCGGCTAGCCCCAGCAGCTCACTTGTGTGTTGTACAGCCAGAATTTGGGCGGCGAGCAATGGCAGAAGGAGGGCAAGGGTTCAAAGGTGGTCGGCGGAGGACGGCCCGAGGTAAACTTCTGATGGTCAGGCAAATGATGAGGATCAGAATGCAAGTTATTGGAAGCACGCAATGCAACGCACACGAGTTTCTCATCAGTTGCTGGTGAGCCGGGACAAGTCGGTGTTGGCCAGGCCTGTGGCGATGCTCAGGCCTGAGAGGGTGCAGGTGAGTCCCATTACAGTGATTTGCAAGAAATGGGAGATGATGGGGGTAGGGACCGTGTTCATCGTAGAGCTCCTGTGTGCGGAGTACCTCCTACAGCCGCGCAGCTGCTGACCACCGACCCACCGATCCACACCCTCTCGGTGCCCCTCGACCTTCAGCAGCCGCCCCAGTGTTAGTGGAGGGTTGGGCTGGGGGGGAACCGGGAGGCAGGAGCGAGGCGAGTTCGCTGCGCAGGCGCTGCGCCAGTCCGTTGGCCCGCTGATCTGTGCGCTGCCGCCCGTTGCCGGGCAGTCGCTCCCTGTTCGTGTTGTGTTATGCAACCGATCATTGGCTATCGCCATTGACACCGGCTTAGGCCAACTAAAAAAAGGGTGGAGGCAAACTGGAGGTCGGGAGCGTCTTTGCTGGACCCAATGCGTCACGCCCTTCTTTGCACCCTTTGCCTCGTCTGCGTGTGTGTGTTCAGTCAGCACCGCAATCTCCGCGCGACACGACACGACGCACACGACTCGACACATGGTACACACAACGTGTGCGACATTTAGAGTGGCGGCAGACGACACGCAACAAGTGGCGCCGTCCCGTCCCACCAGGGCTGGCTGGAGATGGTGGCCACCCAGTCAAGACCATGAGCTGGGCTGCCCCCTCCCCTTGAGGTGGCCATCGCCACCATGTGTGCATCATGTAGCTTGTCAAGTTGAGTGGGAAGTCAGTCAGTAAGTAAGTAAAACAGAGCAGGCAGGTAAAGTCAAGTAGGTCAAGTAGTAGGAAAGTAGGTCAAGCAGATAAGTAGGTCAAGCGCCAAGCAGCCTGGAATTCTCCATGGCGATCTGGAGCATCTTTTCAAGGGTGCCTGCGGCGTGAACGACGCGTGGCTCACCACCAGCGGAAGCTCCTCTGGCGCCACCCGCAGCTCGTTGCAATGCATGCTGCCTGTGGTTGGTGTCGTTGTTTTTTTCCTGTCAAAATCGCCGGCGACGTGTGACGAAAGGTTGGGTTACACGCTTCCCACCAAAGGGATTCCAGGAGGTCAAAGTTCAGGATTGTTCTGTTTCGCACCTGGCGTTAAAGCAAGTGTATGTTAACATTGAGTGTATATATGACAATGTACTGATAGTGTGAGTAGGGGAAACACAGGGCGGAGGCCGGTCCGGCGCTTGGCTTCTTTGCCCACGTCGTGCGACCTCACGCCCATGCCCACCTCCACCGCGTGCATTCGCTCGTAGCCCACCAACGTAGGAAGTGTGCGATCATCGCGGGGCATTCCGTCTAATCCTGGGAAAGGAAAAGCAAAACCCAACCCCCCCCCAAAGCCATCCCAAGAGGTCAGTCTGTGTGCACTCATCCAAACTAACACCAGCGGCGGCGCAGAGACGGCTTAGACTGTGTGGCCGCCGTAGTCAAACACGACGCAGGGGTTCTCTTGCTCCACCCAACTGGTTCCTCTCCCCTATCTTCCTGTTGGGGCAGTGCGACGGAAAATAAGATAAAAATGGGTGCTTCGCCCAATGGCCCGCTTTCTTTTTCACCCAAAACAAGAGAGGAAGCTGACGATGAGTGATCATGAAGAGAGCAGCAGCAGCACAGGGAAACAACAATTCAGCCCCATCAGCCACCCTCCCTCCCTCTCCCCTGACCGCACCCACGTCCCACGTCCGCCCCCATTTACTTTTCCACTTCGAAATTATGTTTTTATTTTTATTTACTTTTGCTCTGCCAACCTAAAGCAATGGCGCCCAACCACAGAACCGAGACGCGTCGACCTGGGCGATGTTGGGGCGCCCAATGCCGACCGCATAGAGGCGTGGGTGGTGGACGAGGTGCTCACAGCCGACGAGTGCAGCCACTACATTGACCAGGCCGAGCGCGTGGGCCTCGCCAGTCTAGAGACCGTCTTCCCGCAGGCCTACCGCAGCTCCGACCGTCTCCTCACCCTCGCCCCACCGCACATTGTACGCGGCCTCTTCGCCCGGCTCCTGCCCGCCCTCGATCGCCGTGGTACGCCGAGGCCAACCACTTTTTAATTTTTTTTATTGTTTTTTAATTCAGATTTGGTAATGCGTTGTGTGTCGTGTCGTGTCGTGTCGTGTCGTGTCGTGTCGTGTCGTGTCGTGTCGT